TGTGTGTGTGTGTGTGTGTGTGTGTGTGTGTGTGTGGGGTCTGGTGTTTTTCCTGCTTCTAATCTGTGTTTTGGATTTTTTAATTTTAGCCCCATCTGGGGTGGGCAGGTGGGCCAGTGTCTGCTACACGATGCCGGGAGTCTTTGCCAAAAAGGGATCTGTACAGTAGACCACTCAAAATATGTTTATGAGTACGGCTACAGTATGGTGCAGACCGAGTGCTGGGGGGGTTTATATAATTATTTCCTCTTTCCAGGACGGCACACGTAACAGGGAGGGTGCAGCTGATGGAGAAAATTATAATTCCACCTGAAATCACGAAACCATAGGAACAGATTTCACGTCCCAGCTCAACAGACAGAAGACAAACCCCGGCCCCCTCCCCTCCCCCTCCGTAAAAGAAGCCTTGATAACTTGAGCGGGGGGGCGGGGATTGTTTTTTGCCTCAGGGCGATGAAGTGTCTGTGTCCATGTGGACAAACTGAAGATTTTTCCTCCATTAAAGGGAGAAAAGTGGACGTGTGCAGGCCAGAGGCCAGCTCGTCAGGCTGATGTCACACCTACTGCAGCTCTGCTGCTGCGTCAGGCGCAGGAACAGGAGGGTTTGGCTTCAGCAGCTGCCGCCGGGCTGCTGTGACATCATAAAGCTGCTTCCCTGTTGGGTCGTTCCCTCTCAGATCGAGTCTGAATTCTGCTCCCACGTGTTATAAGTCTGAACATATACATGATACACGTGTCTGTCATATAAGGAGCGCTGTGCAAACTTCATATACCAAAAACACTTTTGGTTGTTGTTGGAAACTGAAATCTGAGGTTTGAACCCTGAAGCCTAAAGCTGTGACGGCTCCTTATCGCGCTGCTGTTACGCTAAAATAAGCTGTCTGGCTTTTTTCATGTGGTGCTTTAATTATGACTGAGAAATTATTTTTTAACATATGTGCCAGTCTGATAAATCTTACATATAAAAAGAGGCGTTGCAACTTTAACATGTGCACATTTTTGTACATAAAAATAAGAGCAGCAAACGAAAGCGAAGATGAAGCTAAAGCACGGTCGTGCAGACGGCGATTTTTTCTCCAGCGCTTCACGTTTTTTTTTTTCCTGAGGTCGGGCGGGTTCAGCGGAGCAGGACGAGGCGTCGCTTTCATGTTTTTCCACTCTGAGCTGAAATTTTGCTGAAACACATCCGAGCCTTCGAATCCAGGAGTCCATAAATCGGTGAAAGATTACACACACGTGCGAGCGCCCGGAGGCGGCGGTTGGTGCGATTCGTGAACACGTCCCCGAAACGTGCACGTCTAACCCATCGAAACTCTGACATGTGAGGCTTTTATAAACCGTCTTGTCGTGCGTTGGAATTCAGGACGTGAAAAGTAAAAGCTCAAACTGAACAGAACGATTATTTTCCATCTCCATCTGAAAGTCTGAACGATCGTGGCGCCTCATTCCTCTCACGTGTGAGCGCAGGAAGCATTAAATCCTGTGTGTGTGAAAGCTGACTCAGCAGGGAGCATTAAATAAAATACAAAAACATATATTTACAGTCATCCTCTGTTGTATTTGAGTAGATGTCGACTTTTCGGGGAGTTTTTCTGTGTGGAAATGAAATAATTTCCACGAAACAAACAAAGTGGTGCCTGAAATAATTCCGCTCAATGCTGTAAATTTCCTGCAGATGTTTTTTTAGTTTTCCACAGATTCGATTGGAATCGTCGGTGCTGCAGAAGTTAAACATCTGCCTCTCGGCCCTCGCCCTGCCCCCCTCTCCTCTTACTGTACGCTGAATGAAACCGTCCCGCCGTGCAGAGCGGCGGTGACGGCGTATTGTCCCTCACAGACTTACATTTAGGTCGCCTTTCACTTCCTGCTGTGATAAATAGGCTTCAGCCTGATAGCGGCGAGGCTGGATGGACTCGTGTGTTTAGTGTCAGTGTGGAAGAGGACTTGCTGACTTGGGTCTTTCCATTCTGTAAACCTTATTTGACTCCCCGACAGAGGAGGAGGAGGGGGGAGCCGCAGAAAAGAAAAGATTAGGCTCCTGTTAGCGACTGCTCCTCATTGTGCTCCCGTGGGTGCCTCCGTGGGTTTGATTCTTCCTCTTTCTTTCTGCCCCCCCGCCTTCCCCCGCACACACGCCCAATCGTGTGCGGCACAGAAAATAAATAACACTTACTTTCTGCTGAATGGCGAACAGTTCAGCGTTGGTCTAGGCCATGTTAGCCTGCCCGTACACAAAGGCGCCACCGGACCCGGCATGATCCGCCGCGTCCTGTGAAACGTCGGGTTCGAGCTTTGACGAGCGGATTCATGAGGCAAAGCTGCCGGAGGACGTCCGCGGACGTCTTTCCGGGCTGTTACAGAGACCAGATCTGCTGGTGCGAGCGTGACAGACGTCCCAACGGTTCACAGCTGTCTCAGTTTCAGGTTAATTCACTGTGTGTCCTGCTGAAGATCGTCAGAGCCTGAGGGCGTGTGTGTGGATGAAGTTCCACCTGCGTGGTTGTTCGTGAGGCCAGAGTCAGATCCCTCTCTGAGGCACCGCAGGAAGCTCTTTGCCGTCACCATGAGAGCACAAAGAAAATATCAAATGCTGTTTTGCACATAAACTATATAAAAATTAAATGAACTGCACTATATTTGTTAATGAGTGGAGATATTTTTCTCATTTTAGTTTTTTATTTCTTTCATTTTTATTATTGTGAAACACAATAAATGAATTTAGGCCAGTGTCCTTATTTTGAGCACGTGCAGGGATTCATGAGATGTTTTAAAGAAGAAATTTGAACGAATGTAATGCTGCTGATTGTTTGAGTGTGTATTTAAATACTGAGCATATTTAAGTTCTAAAGTGTGATGGAAGCCCGCAGAGATCAGATGAATGAGTCCTGCAGCCGTCCCGTAATTAAAGAAAACATAAAAAAAGCTCCAGAACAAAAGCAGGAAATGAATTTGGGCGTTTTGCTGTGAGATCTCGCGTTGAACCTCCAGCACGGCGACGTCCACCAAATTGTGCAGAACCAGAAAGGATATTTTTAATTTTACAGCTTCCAGATATTTATCAAGTATCTGTTGTATATTTTTCTCTGATGCGTTTCTTCTCCCGGCCTTTAAGCACGGCAAATCAGCGCGGCGAGGCCGGCGTGTGCAGCGTGACGCCGACACCCTCACCTCAGATTATGCTGCTGTCAACACATTCCCAGGTTGTCGTCACTCATCTTTAGATTTGCGTTCGGGGGGTGATCGCGTTGATAACAGACTGCTGTTGCACTAAACTGTGCATCATCGTTTTTTTGGCGTGCGGAGGAAGTGGCGGAGGGCGGGGTCAAAACTGTTATCACCCTATCATATCTCTGACAGCTACCTGTCAAAATCGGGTCGCAGCAAGAGATGCGAGGATATCCTGCGATGCTGACGAAGCCAAACGCGGCCCTCTCCCTCTTTTCTTCTGTCTCAGTTTGCATTGTTAATTCTCACTGCACTCCAGCATTAGCTTAACGCGAGCGACGACAGCAGCCAGGATAAAAAAAGAAAAACAGGAGGAGGTTATGGGGGGGTGTTTCTGAAGAAAGCTTATGAACTGTCAGCGTTCTGTCAGGAGGAAAACAGCGCGGTCCGTGAACTCGTTTGATGCGTTTGACTTTGTGTGGCGTTCGCACACTGAGCGCAGGAAACGAGGGACAAAGAGGAAGAATGTGTTGTGTTATGATGTGATGTGTGCAGGGCTGGCACTCAACACGCCTTCCATTTGTCTTCCCCTCCTCGTGTGTGTGTGTGTGTGCGTGCTCCAGATGTTGGCGAGGACTTGGTGAAGACAGCGGGGAGCATCCAGCCGCCTCTGCCCCAGCATCGAGAGCGCTCCCTGGGCTCGTCCTCCAAGGACTGCCCTTACTGCGGCAAGTCCTTCCGCACCTCCCATCACCTGAAGGTCCACCTGCGGATACACACAGGTCAGTGCCTCCACCCTGCACCCACCCGCACACCCCCCGCCTGCTCTGCGTCTCTGCAGCTATGAAACATTTATTGGACTTCATGCAAAATTTACTTCAGCGCTTGTTCTGACATTTCTTCTGGGCTCAGGCTGACATATTGGTTTCTGAATATCGGCTCGCTGGAGTCAGTCTCCCTCTGACGTGATGGAGAGGACGCAGATCCATCGATAATCTATCAGTTTGAACATCGATGCGGGAAGAAGACAAAGAAAGAAAGGAACAGAGTACAGGCCGTCACAAACCCAGTCATCCCAGTTTAGCAGTGTCAGGTCTAGCAGGCCTGCCTCGGTCCTAATCTGTCTCTGTCCGTGGGATCTAATCCCAGAGGCTCCGTGTTGTCAGCTGCTGGATTTGAGCACGTTTCCTTCAGACTCACATAAATCCAAATTAAGGAAACTGCTGGCGAGCGTGCACTTCCTCTCAGTGTCCCTCATTTAGGCTTAAGGCCATTGTTATTCCACTTTTTTTCCTGCTCATCATTTCATTGAGCTCTAATTAACACAACAAGGGTTCAGTGTCCTCCAATGACATCACTCAGAGGGCAATTTCACACTCTCTAACTCTCAATAACTTTCGAGGCAAAACAAAGCCGGCCTGTCCACCGTTCGCAGGGATGTTCGTGAGACCGTGTGTCGAATAGATTTAGCTTTATGTTTCGGGCGGGTGTGCTAACCCTCGGAGCGGCGCCGTCCCCCCGGTTGTTTTCGGTCAGAGTAATGATGTGGACCGTGGACAGGAGCCAGGGCGCTAACCCTCTGCGAGGTACGAACGCCCCACTGACTATCCAGGTTAAAGTCACATTCAGACTGTGCAGAGGACACCTTACCACAAGGACACCTGGCTAAAGTTTCTCAGGTGTTTCCTGCCTCTCAGCTCCTCAGCTTCCAAACACTGTGGACAGCTCAGCGTTATTATTCACCCGAGGTCTTCCAAACGAGAGTCCTCTCTGGACCACTTTGGCTATCCACGCAAGCATAATCCCACATAAAGAAGAGCGAGATCGATCGTAGTAATAAAGACTTCCTATGAAAAACTGCGAGTTGTTCCTGTGACTGATGCTGCCGGAACAAAGCTGCTTTATGCCATGTTGTTCTGCTAATTCAGCATTACAGCATTAACCCTTAAGCTCACTTGGGTCCCCAGAACACGGTAATAACTCCACGTCAGTCACACGCCATCCTCCCCTGCATCCTGCGTGACGGACCAAACACGAGCGTCCTGCTTTATTGGGTCAGACCTGAAACCGGCGAGTTCACTGAGGACACAGGATGTGCTTTTTCTCACAGGCTTCTATCCAATCAGACTTCATGGGAGTCGCCCCCTGCTGGACAGCAGAGAGAATGCAAGCTTCAGACTCACTTTTCAGACCTGACGATGCATCAGACTCTTATACAGTCCTCTGACTTACTGCGTGAACTGAGCAGATACCTGATCGAATGCTTTTACTGTCAGACTGCAGTAGCTCTGAAAATATCACGACTTCCATGCCTTTACTGACTTTTTACGGGTGGTCGGACTGCGACGCTTTCAGGTCTCTAAACACAACCAGGTCACCTCGAGGCCAACCTCCCCTCCACTTGCTGCTGCTTCTGTGTTACCTGCTGCTGAGAGACCTGAGTTATGTCTGCTTTGAGTAGAGTAGTAATGATCCCCGTGAGGCCCATATTTTATCGCAGAGGAAGCGGAGCCGGTCTGATTGAATCCACAGTACGTTTTATTTTCGTCCTTTCGTATCTCAAACAGACAGTAAAATTAAAGGCCTCGCTTGGAGCCTCCACCTGGGGACAAATGTGAGAAGGGTTAGCGGGGATGTTGTCTTTTTTGGGTGGAATGTATCCTTGGACGCGTGCCCGTCGAGCTTAGACGCAACGCGGGGAGAAAAAGAGCTTGATGCATCCCCAACATGTGGCCTTTAAATCACTCCTATAACCTAATCGTACCAGCTCCGCTGTGACATCCTGATTACATCCACGAGATGACTTTTACAGCGGCTAAAGATCCTCTCTGCGCTCTGGTGACAATGCGGGCAGATTCACAGCTGACAGGCGAGCTCTCCTCCGTCTAATGTAATGTGAGTGACACAATGGAGTTGCTTACCGAGCCTGGTCGAGGCAGCATTATGCGACGCAACGCAGAGATTAATGAGCGACTAACACCAGCTTGAAAGGAATGAAGTGAATTTAAATTTCTCCAAAAGTTAAAGAGCTAATGTTACAGTATTAATTTCCTCTTGAACAGTGAGTGGGAAAATATCCATTAGCAAAATTAACCACAGTTTTCTAGGTAGCTAACATTGTGCGGCTGTGGCACTACAGTGTGGGGCCAGAGCTAATGAACACACTGCAGAGGGTGATATTTCATTATACAAATTAATGCTCACATTTTAATGGGAAAGTCACATAATGAATCTAGGCTTCAGTGACAGCAATTAGAGGCCCAGATTGTCCCCTTCTGGACAAGGCACTATTTAGCAGTAAGCAGCTGTGTGTAAAAAATAAAAAGGTCCTCGCTCTTGACAATAGCCACACATAACTTCAGGCAGGGCCACATAACCAATAAGAGTCCCGGCTCACCTATAAATGAGCAGAGGGAGGAGGAGGAGGAGAGACAGGACTCGCCCGTGTCACTTAACCTTAACCTAACCTTGTAATCAGGATGAATCAGGAGGGACCTGTGATCTCCGTCTCCATTCCTCTCGCTCCCCTGAGCCCTCGTCTTCCTCTTCCTTCTATCTCTCATACATTTTCTTTTGTCGCTGCATTTCCTGCCTCTGTCGAGCAGGAACTTCACAGCAACGGCTCTTCTTGAAGGGGGAATTAAAGAGGAGTGGGACAGTTTTGGAATTTCCTGCCGCAAATTTTAGAATTTAGCCCAACGTGTGAAACATTTCTGTAATACTGACCATGTCGTCTGTTTGAGGTCGTATCCTATCCCAGTGAGCCTCTTTACCCTCTCTCTGGTAACATCGTGATGTTTGGGTCTGCACCTTTCATCACAGAATAAGCATTTATAAAACTGTATTTCCTGTTCGTCATCATCATCATCATCAACTTTATTTATAAAGCACTTTAAAACAACCACAGCTGACACAAAGTGCTGTACATTGGAACTGTAAAATAAAATTACATGAGATATAAATAAAAATCAAATAAAAGAAGAGTGAAATCATTAATTAAATAACTACGTCATCCAATAAGAGTTCATTTTCTAAGGGTTTAAATCCGTACACGCAGCTGCCGAACAACTGTTAGCAACGAGCACACAGGAAGGACTGTTTTCCCAGTAACCCAACCTTGTGATGTGACATGGGTGGTGCAAACACCTGAGCACTGGCCAGTGTGAGCTTTGGAAGCTCCAGCCATTTCCAGTCAACACTGGTTCTCGCGTTCCACCCTAACTACAACCCTGATTACCCCCATGTATCTGGGTTATGTACACTAACTACAACCCTGATTACCACCGTGCCCACTAACTAACTAAACCTGATACCACCATGTAAACTACTATAGCCCCGACACCCTCATGTATCAGGTACACTATAACCCTGAATACCACTGGCCACTCTAACCGTTAGCCTGATTACCCTGACAAGACTAACTTTAACCCTGATTACCGCAGCCAGAGTAACGATCATTTTCCAACACAGTATGCTCTCACATGAATAAAAGTTAAAAGAAAAAAACGTTCACATTTGAAAGTCGGAGGGAGGTCTTTAACCCAGTTCAAACTGGTTCTGTTGCATCATATTCCATCAGTGGTTTATGAAAAATGAGAGCTGTGATAATGTTTAAATATAAACACAAAACAGCTTCCTTTGAGGCTTAGCCACTATTTGTGTCACATATGAATCTTCTTTCTAATTAATCTAATACGGTTCAGGTAAACTGTCGAGATGTTAGAAATATAAAATTATTTCTTTGGTAACAAAACCTGCAGTATTTTTGTTCAGATTTCTAAAATGTTTTCTGTGTTTATGGAAAACAGCACAGATATTTGTTTTTAACCACGTGTGTTTTCAGAGGTGTGGACTGCACTGATGTGGTAAACCTCAGTGTTTAGCTCCACAGTTAATGCACTGCATTAAGAAATATTTGAAAAAGCAAACAACAACAAAGCTGCAGTTTATGGAAAACAGCCGGATCCTTTTTAAAGCACGTATGTGTGAATAGTTTTCAAGTTTAAATCTTTTTTTATTATTCTGATCGTGTTAGCCGACTAAACCTTATCAATGTTTACCACGAATGTACTTTGTGCTCCTCAGATTTGACGAAAACTGCGGTTTGTTTTGTAATTACACAGTTTCAGTAATTTCATCTTTTTTGAATTATGTGTTTTGTTGACACAAAAAAAATCAGTAAAAATATTGTAAAATATACCATTTAAAAAAAACAAAACGTAATTTCCTGTGAAAAATTCTTATTTTGCTGTATTTTTTAACCACACATTGAATAATCTTCCATCTTTACGGGAACTTTGGTCTAAAAACAGAGAATATACTGGCAAAAAAATTACCAGTTCAGTTTCTGTTTGTGCTCTCTCTCTGGGATTTCTGGAGTTACTAAAGTGACGGTCTGTGCTGCCACTTCATATCTGACCCGCTGTATAACCATCAGATATATTTAAAACAGCTCCGTGTGTTTTTCAGTCCCTCAAACATCTCAACCGCTGGTTTTTACATTTATTTCCATCCTCGAAGCCAAATGGAAATTCATCTTCCAGTATGTCATATCTATTAAACCATTTTAATTGCCCCTCTGTACAGGGCTGGGGTATTTATCTTTACTTGTTTCTATGGTGCTGTCATAATTCACACGAAGCCAGATGAAATCCGTGCAGCAACATGAAGTGCAAACACGCTGTGGAGGATCTCAGGAAGAGGAGGAGGATTTATAAGCGCAGAGGTTGTGTCGAGTGAAGGGTCTGCTTCTTATCGTTCACCTCCGTCAAGGTCAGCGTGTCCACAGCGGCTCAACAAAGAGCAGACAGACAGCAGCGAAAAGTTTACCGTTCTATTTTTAACTCCTGCAATTTCCTGGTTTTGTGGCGGCAGCGATCTGTCATGTGGCTGGGAGGTTGTGCTGTTTGCGCTGATATCAATTAAAAGTGGATTAACGGGTACATAATGACCTTTAGCAGTAAATTGTGTGTAATGTTGCAAGGCAGGATACAGTATATTCCCCAGATGTCACACCAGGCCCCTGACGTATGATGGAGCAGATGTCTTAGCCAGTCCAAATGGCCCTCTAAGACACACACACACACACACACACACAGAGGCTCAGGCTGACATGCATGCATAAACATGTGTTCTCACACATTCCAAATGGCAAACAGACACACACACAGGCAGACATGTCGTCTGTCTCACTTGCTCCAGATATTTAAAAATGCTCAGCTTTAATGGAAAAACGGGCACAAAGCGAGCGCTCTCGCAGGGCATCGGCATTCATTTCAGTTTGCCTTCGTCCGTAAACATCAGAGGACGGTGTCAAACACGCAACTGCCTCTGCTTTTCATTCTCATCTTAGATATGCACATTCATCTTTATTTCCCCCCCACGTGAACATTAACAACCTCTTATAAGGAAAGGGAGAAAAAAATCAGATCAGTCTAATTTCTGTCTAATTTGGCTCCTAGAATATCATTTTGTCCAGTTAGAGGAATCGAGAATGATCATTTGCATCAGGGACGTTTCCTTATTAAATCAGCGCCGAGCCTCTGTTCGGCAGCTCACAGGAGAAGCACTTATTGGGTTAAAAGCTCATCTCGTATGGTTTATTTTAAATATACTCTATGCTTCACAGACACTCTGCTGTAAGAGAAAAGATATCAAATCGCTGTCTTTCTGCCTGTAGTCAGGGTTATCTGCAGCTCTGCATGCTCTCTTTTCCCTCCTCTCTGCTCTCTTTAGTATTTCCACCTTCAATTTTCTTTTGTATAGCCTCCTATTCTTTTCTCTGCTGTATCAATATTCTATTGAGTTGCTGTTTGTGGCCCTTTATTTGAGAACTCTGCAGTAGGTCTGCAGATCGCAGAGTCTTTTTCTGGAATGGTGCCCTCTAAATAATGATAAATTACTTGAGCAGTATGCCATTTGCTAATTATATCCATGATTTACTACACAGCCCGACTTAAATCATTCAAACCAGCCTTGCGTAACAATGCCTTTTTTTCCTTTATAAAATGGTTTCCATGTGTATAATCTAAACATTTTATTGGCATATACTGTATAGAGAACGTGCATGCAAAACATTTTTTATTTCTTTTCCAGCCGTGCGTGCACAAATACCACTGTGGGAACTTTTATATGTGTATATTGAAAAGGGGGGAAAATCGAGCTTAGCGTTTTTGCCTCTCTGTTCATTGTTTAATGAATCCAAATCTGGCTCCGACTCCAAGCCTATTATAATTGCTCGCAGGATGTGTTCTATTTCAACATCTTTCCAATGGAAGATCCACTTCTGGCAGAATAGTGTTGGTGTTATAGCATTATCAGGAATATTCATGAATATGGATGCGCAGCATAAATAAACATATGTAAATGTTACACAGCAGATTCACCCCCCTTTTGCTGTAGTGTAAATCGCTTTGATCTGTACTGAATCATATTGTTCTTCATCGCGAGGCTTCACCACATCCAGCGTGTGCTTCACATATGTCGCCGGCTTCGTGTTTTTTGCGGCATCCGTATTGTGTGGCGGGGGGCCGCGCGCTGAGCCACGCCTGATGTATGCTCCTCCTGACAAAGTGCAAAAAAAAGGGCGATGTCCGAGAAGCAGCGCCGTCATCGGCAACGGCGCGGGCCAGAACGGCGGCACGATGACCCCGCTGCACGTGTGCGCACGGGAACTCGCCGCGAGCCCGGCCGCAGGCCCGCGCACATCGCATCGAGACACTTCTGTTGTCAGCTGAAAATATTATGTCTTGTAGTGGACTGAAAGCACCATATGGTGAAATGTTTTTATGGTGTTGATATGAGTGATGGCTCACTTGGCGGAGCTGGATCGACCCATATTCAGATGCCTACTCCACACCCCCCACACCCCACCCCCGTCCCAATACACACACATCAAGTGGAGCCGAGCCGACGACTGGAAGAGAAAAGACATGCAAGTGTTGGTTGAATGCACAATCGTCTTCATTATCACTTTGTGTTTCATTCTGTGCTACTTTTTAAAATCTCCTTTTTCAGGAATTAAATACTTCCTCTTCTTTATCGTAGTTAATGAAATGCATGTCTTTTTTGTCACTTCATGTGACCTAATTTTCTTTGTTCAGGGAGGTTACATGACCCTCGGGCCCACATTCCCTGCTCCAATAAATAGATTTTGATATCCAGTCGATGTAATAAGCAGGTTAATTATTCACTGTTTTACTGTTTCTCTCGCTCTCTTTCTTTCCCGCCCTCTCAGGAGAGAAACCCTACCGCTGCCCTCATTGTGACTACGCCGGCACCCAGTCTGCCAGTCTCAAGTACCACCTGGAGCGCCACCACCGCGAACGTCAGAACGGCTCCACCACGTCAGGCTCCTCCTCTGGCCACACCCCTTCTTCTGACCACAAAGAGGATCATGGGAAGACGGGCGGAGGCATCTTTGCCCGACCGGACGTCCTCCGTAATGTTTTCAAAAGCATGCCCCCCAACCTGGACTTCAGAGCAGGGCCGCTGCTGCCGCATCAGTGGGCATCGGCTCCCATCGTGTCCTCTCACAACCGGGATCGTGACTGTGGGGACCGCCGCTTTGACTCCGCCTCTTCAGCTGAGAACACGAAGACTGCCGATGGACCTTCCACCATAGTCTCCGCGGATGGCGCCGCCAGCTTCTCTGACCTAAGCCGGGCTTACCAAAGCATGATGGGAAACGGAGTCCACTTTCAGGGTTCTCTCCAGGCTTTCATGGACAACTTTGTCCTCAGCTCCATGAAGAAGGATGTGAAGGACAGCCAGAGTCCAGCCCAGCTCCAGGCCCAGCGCTACCATGACAACGGCGAGCCCAAAGCCAAGAGGGCCGCCTCCGGGGAGCAGGACAGAGAGGAGAAGCCTGAACCCAAACAAAACTCAGAGCCGGGCAAACCCGGGTCCCAGTACGAACCGCTCGATCTGTCTGTGTCGGTCCGACCCGAGTCTGCATCCGGATCACTCCCTGGCACCTCCGTCACCATTCACGATAACGTGGCGTGGCACGGATGCCTCTTCTGCTCCTTCTCCACTTCCTCATTGGAGCTCATGGCTCTGCACCTCCAGGCCAACCACCTGGGCAAAGCCCCTCTGCAGCACGCCGACGCAGGCAAGGACGCTCACCGAGAGGGTTCTCCGACCACCTCCACCCTTCACTCCTCCAACACCAAGGCCTCGGGCGTGGCCCCGGAGAGAGATGGAGACAGAGATGGAGAAAAAGGCCAGGGAGGCTGGAATAACCACATGGAGCAGCCATATAACCCCTTCCAGAGTGAATTCTACAGAAGGTTTGGCGGCTTGTATGATGGATCCCCAAGAGTCAGTCAGGGCATTCAGGGGTACATAGCCCAAGCAGACCACGGTCTGGACCTGCCCAGCCAGGTCTTCGGGGGGGCCTCTTCAGCCGGCCCTGACCAGATGGGCGACAGGGGCTCCTGTGGAGATGCTGAAGATGACCAAGTTGGATCTGAAGACGAGGCTGGAAAAACCGGCGTGCGCAGCACCAACGAGACCCCGTCGACCACACCCAAGAGACGGCAGCAAAACCACTCTGACGAAGACGAGGAGGAGGTAGGAGTGGCTGAAGAAGAGGAGGAAAGAGACGAGGATGGGCAGATGGACGTGGACAGAGAGGAAGAAGGAAGTCCCAAACAGCTCCAAGATGATTCCTCTCTGCCCCTGAGGAGCGGAGCGGCCATGGCGACACCGTCCTCCGCCATGACTCCACTTTCTCTGATTCCTCCGCCCCAGAACCAGACTCTGCCGCTGGAGAAACAGTGGCAGCAGGGCTTGGGCCTCCTAACCCCCGGAGGTCCACCAGGACTGTTGAAGGCGGAGCAGCAGACCCACCTGGAGCAGCAGATGAACATGCTGTCTGTCCTGAGAGCCTACAGCAACGACACCCTCCCTGCATTCAACGGCCTGGGCGGCGGAGCGGGCGGGGCGCCCCCGGGGGGCATGAAGAGGTCGGACGCACCTGGTGAGTGTGTTTAACCCCTCCTGGTTCAGAATATTAAAAGACAGCCACACGAGCAGAAAGCGACCCCAAAAAAGACAAATATGAGCACAAATCCAATTTTCCCACCAGTGCGTGCGCACCAACACCAAACACAGCAGACTAACACGTATACGTTTTTGCCTGACACCCACAAAGGAATCTCAGGCACTCACTAAATGTCTCGAGATTGGCTCTGAAGTGATTTCAGCCTTATTTCAAGCAAGTTTAGAAGCTATCATGCCGGCGACTAGCAACAGATTAATCTTTATTACACGTTTATATTACTGGGAGTGCAGCGCCTCCCTCTCGCTCCCCAGCATGGGGGGAATAACCCTGGATGAGTCAGAGCAGGACCTCAGCTCCCCGTGCCATCTCCTCCACATGTCTCTTAACTATCTTAGCTCTCATAAAGCCGGCTCCCAAAAGCCCATTACTTTATAAGACTCGTCGATCTATGACCCTGTGAAAAATGAACTGTCAACTTTCATGATTCTGCTAAGGTTATAGCCGCTCCTTGAGACTGAAGAAGGAAGTCTTTTTCTCTCGCTCTCTCTCCTTTTTTTACAATGCTCCTCTTCTGTTTAGGGCTGGTTGGTACTTCTGAGTGTCTCTATAGGAAGAAAATAAAAGCCAGTGTTGGTGTTGAGCTTTAAAAAACCGGCTTATAGACACGACGGAGATGGATGACTTTGCTCCGCTGCTGTCGGTTTGACTCGGTGTGACCCTCGTAATATTATTAACAATCAGGAATATTTTTCTTTGTTTGGAGAACAAAGGAACGGAACATTTTTCAATCAAACGCAGAGAGAAAATAATATAAAACATAAATAAAATAACAGCTGCTGGTGTTATCTGTGGCAGGACACGGCTCTGAATATCTCGATGCAAGTGTATATGTTTCATTAAAAAGAGAAATGGCTTTGTGAGAGATTGCCCTACATATTGTTTAGTCCAAAATGTGGGCCGGCCCCTCTGCAGCGAGGAATGCTCGACCTTTATAGATAAGGCTTTCTCTGAGGAACAAAGGCCTTTCTTATATGTCCTCGTCTGAGACGGCCATTCATTGTAATTAAAAAAAAACAAGTTATTGTGTGTCCGACTTCCCGGCAGATCTCTGGGATGGCACCGAAGATAGCATAGAGAAGAGTGAAAGACTATAGGGAACATGAGTAACATGGAGACATGTTGTGGTGAATGTGAGCGAGTGAATTGTTGTCCCGAGTGTGACATTACTCCAGGTGACTCTTCGCCTCCCGTCCCGGCTAAAGATGCTCTGACTGAAACATGCACGTAGAGCTGGACGGAGAGCTAAAGTGCAGAGACGTTCGGAGGGCTGGGGAAGCTACAGAGCTGTGCTTCGGCTAATGTGACCACGTGAAAAGTTCATGCTGACCGAGTTCAAAGGCCACTGTTTCAGGATGCGCTGCGATAGTTTCTCGTGCTGTTGTTGTGCAAGTGGAGGAGACAAAACAGACACGCTCGTTTCTGGGTGAAATGCACAGTTGTGTTATATGTCCACTTGTAAAACACTCATGTCTTGTTTGGGGGGGGGAACTGTGGCTGGAAGAGCAGAGCCGCTGTTCCACTGTTGAGGATGAAGGCGGGGGTGGCAAAGACGTCCGAAAAACTCAATTCAGACCTGGCAGAATGTGATTATCTGGAGTGGGTTTGCATTAGGTTTGTATGCAAATACAGCATAAATCATTAATATCGAAATTCTGCCCTGAATGCGCGTGAGCTGTCGCGGGGCATGCGTCGCACGTCTGGAGTGGCCGGCGCTTCATTAGTATGCCCGGAGGAGGAGGGGAAAGGGTTCCGCGTGCTCTGACACGACACAGATAGAAACGTAGACGGCTGCGTGCACAAGCCACGCCTCCTGAATCGGATTTATCAATAAATGTCATTAAGAGCAGCGGTGGGCCCGAGGTCTCTGCAGTCAGCCGAGGTATCTGGTTACTGAGGTACAGTACGCCGTGTAAAGATTGACATGAACCCGCACCGTTTGCTGTACTGTAGATGTGCTTAACACAATCAATACTTGGCTGCAGTGCAGACCTATCTATAGCCATGCATTATCAAACATGAAGTATTACATTATTCAAACAGTGCTGTACATGCTGCGGCTGCTTGCGAACAATGCTCCTCACATCGTATTACTTACATTACCTCAGCCCCCCCGCCCGCCCACCTCTGCTCCTCTAATATATGACATGTGGACCTGAGAAGGCTGAGACTGACAACCTGAAGAGGAGGAGGTGTTGATAAAAGTGCAGGACTTGGATGAGCACGTTTAGGATTTGAGGAAAGAAAATGGCAGAGCTCAGAGCTGAGCACCTCTTACTGCGGGAGAAGTGTGCTACAGAAGCCGGCGGTTAGTGGATGGAAGTGAAAGCAGAGAGGAGAGTGCTGTGTGTTCTCAATTAGAGCCGTGACTCCCGCTTTCTGAGCGCTCTCACGCCGTGCTTCTCCTCAGAAGTGCTGCGGTTTGTTTGTGTTCGCTGCAGATGGAAACTCAGAGGTTCAGCTCGGCGCGCTCTGAAACAGCCGGCTGTCGGTGAAGGAGCCGCGTGACGTCACCTGAAGTCCAGCCGAGCGGCGTGATGACTGAAACTCTAGCCCCGCCCTGTGTTTGCGCCTGTCTGATTGACAGAACGAGCTGCGTGTAGTTTCAGGAGCGGCCCGTCGGCTCTTCTAATCGTAGGATGTTTGGACATTTGTGATGTCTGGACGTTGCGTTGTTCCCTGCGTGCCGCTGAGCTGCAGTCACCTTATTAGACACGTGCCAGCGAGCGGTGCGGCTGCTCTGGTCCTTTCCACAAGCCAAGTTTCTCTCAGAAGAGACGATGGCTTTCCAAGTGCCTCTTTAGCTCGCTTGGCACCGCGTTACCACCGGCCAGCTTCTCCTGCACACGACTGGGCGGCGCGCTGCTGACATGCCCGGTGAAGCTGAAGCAGGTTTCCTTGCTCCTCAGGTGGTCGGCCTCTGCGCTGGTACGCAAATGATTCCAGCACACCAGAACACTGGCATCCGCTGGTCTGAACAACACTGAGATTTGCATCAGACTTTCTAATTGTTGAGACGTCGTGGCAGACGTTTGCCAGGTGGGAGGAGCCAGTCCAGAGCAGGCGCGCCCTCCTGGTCGTATGCAGGTTACTGTCAGAGGTGCCTCCGCCGTGAGTGTCGAGATCACATCCTCACAGCGCGCTGGCACACGGCGAGATGAGCGTGTTCGGTCACGCTCACTGGTGACATCACAGCACACATGCCAAAGACCCCTCGTACATACGTGAGCAACGCCGGCAGCTTTGACGTGGACAAACACTCACAAACATTCACACACACTTCAAACTTTTTGTGATGTAAAATGTGGTAATTGCCAATAATACTGTCCTTATCAGGTGTTTAATGACCAGGATTTGGTTGCTGTTTGTATTTAACACACACACACAGACACACACACACGCGTGGAAAGCAGTTCACATTGCTGCTAGACTCCCCTGTGTTCACTAATGAGCCCGACATGTGGCTTACCTGTGTCGCTGCAATTATTCTGTACACTTAAAAGTGAGGCTTTGGGTTCACAGCTGACAGTCCTGGACGGGCAGATGGTGCTTATGAACTCATTTATCAATACTGGGGACACAGGCGGGCTATTGGTCGCTATATTTAATTCATTTTTGCAGTAAAAGTCCAAAGCCGGCCTTTAAAGCCTGTTTCAGGTGCACACACACAATCAGAGGAGCATCTTTGTGTTTCTGTGTTTGCTTCCAGTCTTCAGAGTGCTTCCTAACAGCAGAGGGCATCTATAGCATGGAAACATCTGGATCCTTCCGCTGCTCTTTCTTTAGTGCTCGCTCAGCTCTGAGCCAGAGAATCATTTCACTGGTTCACCATGGGAGCCTCCGGTGGGCGTTTGAGAAACTGCAGCTTCAGTTGTCTCATTATAATCTCCGCTCTGATGCTTAGTTAGAATTTTTGATCTACCTATCCCTTATCTGGGTTTGGGTCGCGGCATGAGCGGACCTCCCTCTCCCCGGCCACCTCCTCCAGCTCACCCGGGGGACACCGAGGTGCTCCCAGCCCAGATATAATCTCTCCAGCGTGTCCTGGGACTGCCCGGGACTCCGGTTTGAACTATTACCATCTTTAATTTACAGATTTTTCAAAACATTAAAATAAGACCTTTATTTAACAAGAGAATTTACAAAGTGACAATAACACAAGATAAAAGTAAAGAGAGGCATCACACAAACAAGAGCCGTGCAGCTGTGTGAGGGTCACAATCAACGCTGTGACATCAGTTAAGCGAGTTTCGGGTTCGACTGCTGGAGCAGACGGTCTGCTTAAATCGTTTATTTGTGCCAAATTGAATTGGAGGCTTCTTGTAAACAGTTTAACCCGATTAGAACTTCAACCAGAGTTTGACCACAGTCCGAGTGACTGAACCGCCCTCCTCCCTGCGTTTTCCCACAGTCCGCGATTCTTCCTCCTGTCTGTCTGCCTGTCTGTCTGATTGCTGGAGGGCAGGGGCTCCTGCAGCGATTAAGCCATCTGGAGGCCTGTCTGCCTGCCTGTCTGCTGGTGAGACGCCTCCCCGGGCTCTCATTGTGTGCAGAGATGACAGCTCTGACGGCTGCTGAAGGCGAGGTGCCATTTCCCACGTGCGTCTACATTACCGGTTTAACTTGTGCAGAGGTGCATTATCACCTTGTCACCCAAAAGTGCAAATAGTGTATTTTTCAAAGAGCAATTAAAGGTAATAGCTGCTGTCAGGCTGCACGGATGGGACCTGTTGCGCGCTCTCAGATGTGATAGCTCTAAAAATATTTCCCCCGCTCGTCAGCCAGTCCTCTCCGAGAGCGCTTCCCGCCGGCGGCCGCGCGTTTTTCCTGGAAGTTCAGCGAGCGAGAGGTGGGATGGAGTTGCTCTTGATAAGGAAACAGAGACGAGTGCCGGGTGATCGCAAACTTGCGCGACAATT